CCGTGGCACCTTGTTGCCGCAGGTTTCATGAGTGATTTTCCCGGTCTGCACCCGAAGCCAAAGATTGTTGATCATCCTCCACCATGCAGAACCCTACTCGATCGGCGCAACCTCCACTTATGGTTTTTATTTTTTACATTTTAGAACTTTTTAAAAACTTATTTTACAAATAAATCTCTAAAAGAACTTATTCCGGGAATAGAATTTTTTTGCAACGCCAATATCGTTGGCGCAGTGATCCAACATAACGACACTAATTTCATCGCATAAATGGATCAGAGGCATAAATAGTGTGCCTTGCCCTACTACTGCCCTCAAGCAAGTTTGAAAAGACACATTTGGTTGAGCTGGTCTAACCAGAGACGTGTTCCCCACCGGATTGAGATCCTCTGCATTGAAGAGTAAAATGCAGAGGATCTATAGTATTTTTGCATTAACACATATTTTGAGCCATTGGATCTTCATTAAACGGTACAGATCAGTCCACTACAGCACAACGCTACAGTAAAAACGCTCAACGGTAAAACGGTATTACTGTTTAGAACACTGGTGTTAATGCAAATTGTTGTAGTACAAGTTCAAACAATGTTCTCTGCATTTACGGCAGAGGACCTGCATCCGTTCCCCGCCGGTTCATGATAAAGTTGTCCTGTTTAGCCGGTTCAAAGCGGTCTGGTGCATACGGTCTTTGCGCTGAACCAGACCGGGATTACTGATGAGCATTAGTTCGTATTTATCTGGTCGAACTGCTGGTTTATTCAACTATGCTTCAAACTTCAATCCTCTTAAATTTAGACCCCAATCCAAATTCGACTTCTCTTTTCGTACACATACAATTCCTCTTATAAGTTATATGGATATGTCACCACCAGATACATTGTTCTCTAGCCTTAATATTCCGTATGATCTTTGTCGACGGGGGATACCCGTAGACCGGATATAGAGGGTATCGGGGTCCGTTGGAACGATGATCTACGTAGTACGACATCAAGCAAACAAAAGACAAGGATTATACTTGTTCAGGCCCCTTGATAGGTAATAGTTCTAATCCAGTTGGTATGGGATTATATGATGGAAACCACAGATTACAAAGGGAATCACAAAACTCGATGATACCGACGAGACCGTAGTCGAGTTGGTCCGACTAAATCTCCCGGCGACTTGGCTCCTGTAGGCTCCAACTCCGTAGGCTGTGGTGGGTATGTTGACGGTAATATTCGATGCCTTAGGTCCTGCCTGGGGGGTCCCTTATATACCGCGGGCTAGTTGATCTCTATGTAGGACTCGGAGATATCGGACCCCTCACGATATGGTAAAGACCCAATCTTATCCGAGTAGGACTCCTTCCATCCGTAGATTCTGTTTCTATCACGTGATAGATTTCCTTAACGTATACGGAAATTATCCGTATGCGTGCGGGTATATCATATTGATACCTATCGTATATCCAAGGATAGAGGGTATACCTTATCCGTAACCCTGACAATCTTCTTGATCATTTGGATCTTAGGGCCTGTTTGGGTGAGTTTTAGATTCTGAGAAGCAGCTGTTTGGTAGCCAGCTTCTGAGAATCTGGAAAAGCTCTGAAACCCAGCTTCTTCAGCTTCTGGCTTCTTAGTTCATTTTTTAGAATCTGTAACTACAGATTCTCAGAAGCTGTGGACTGTTTGGGACAGCTTCTAGCAGAAGCAGCTTTTCCCAAAAGCTGCAGCTGGGACAAGCTCCCCCAAACAGGGCCTTTAACTTCTCCCAAGTCTCTCGATTCCATCATAAACATTTTGTGCAATTGATAAGGTTAACCCGAGATTTTCGAATTGAAAATCATATTAAGCATCTGTTGGCGATGCTCGTGGGCATATTAACACCAATGTTGTTGTAAAGCCATCAAGGTGGCAAGGTTAATGAGCAAAGCACAAATTAAGAAAGCGGCTTCTCCGACTGACTTTAACAACAGTTATTACATTGTTCCCATGTGTTTTTATGCTGCCAGAATATTAAAATCATGGTTGGAGAAAAATAATCGATAAGTATGGTAGAGTAGTTGCTAAAGTACGATATCTAATTAAGAAGGACACGTTAACACAATAACACTATTGGAAACAAGTGGTCATCCTGGAAAAGGAAAGTTGGAGAACAAAAAGGAGTTGGAGAAGAAGGAATAATGAGAGGTTTCTTCTTATGGAAAAGGTAAGTTGCAATGATTGTCATGGGAAGGGATTGGTCACTGGTGTATTCCACCATATTCTCTCCGCCAAAAAAAAAAATCCAATCCTAGCTACGAAACTGAACACACACGTGTCCAGGTTCATAGCTAGGATTGGATTTTTATGGGACGGATGGTGTATTTGGCAATGGCTCGACCAACATGTGACTATAATGAAGTAGAAAATAAATTTACATTCGAAGCAACAGCGAGTTGGAGACATTAAACATGATATATTGAATCTATAAGTTAATTTAATTTTAGGATATAAAAAGAAAATACATAGACCATATGTGTTGATAAAAAGTTGGTTTTAAATGTATCAATGGGATGTCTTACCTTTAATAGTTTAATAGTCCTATTACCCAAATATTAAGGATGTCGGTGACATGGGGCCGAGGGTATCATGCCTAGAGGCTTGGGCAGCCGCGGTCACCCACGTGGCCTGACCCCCTCGGGGGGGGGGGTCGGGCCCGTGGGTGACGTGGCCACCCCTTCCCCTCTCTCCCCGAGGGGTCGGACCGCTCCCGTTTCGGCCCCGAGGGCCGGGGCGCCCCGACCCCCTATGGGTTTGGCGCCACGTGTATGGGTTAGGTGAGCACAGCGGGGCTCACCTAACCGCATTTATTGCGGGTCGGACGAGCGCGTCACGCCGCATGTAATGCAGCGCAGCGCGCTCGCTTATCCGGTCCGTGACCGGGCGCAGTGTGTGACCGGTCAGATCGCGGGTTAGGTGGTGGCAGGCGGCCTGTTACACGCCTCACCCCGTCCCGTCGGATTGATGAGAGCCTCCAGGCACATGTCCCTAGCCGGAGACGGCGTGCCAGCTCCTGAAGATGGCACGTCGGTCCCGGTCAGATACATGCCAGGCTTCATCGCAACCATTGTAAGGAAGTCATTGTATGAAGAAGGGCAGACATGCAGCTTGCTAAACTGACGCGTGGTGGACGAGAGTGACCGGTCTGTCACTGGTCTGACGCCTGTCATGTCATAGGCAGACAACCACGCTCCCGTTTTGCACCTCCTTCCAGCGGAGTGGAGGTAGGTATGACCCATCCCATCGGAGGGTCATTCGAACAGCAGCCATTGCAAATCTCCGCCCATTTATGAAGGGATGACAGGGTGATCTCCGAGGTTAGACGAGCGAGGACGCCTGGCCACACTCAAGAACAAGCTGTGTTTTAGCTTCCAAGAGAAGGCGAGCCAAGTTTTGGTGAAGATAGGATGGGTCCCCACCCAAAAGAAAAGTAGGTAGAAGTGGAGCATGTGGGATCCCCTTGAGTTATAAAAGGAGGACCTTGCCACCAAAAGGGGGAGAGCCGAAGAAAAAAGGAGGAGGGACGAAGGAAGACAACGGAGAGAAGACCTGAGCTCTCTAGCTCTCCAACTCTCTGTAATTCCTTCACACACAGATCCACCAGAACACAGGAGTAGGGTATTACGCTTCTCAGCGGCCCGAACCTGTATACATCGCCCGTGTCTTGCGCGTTTTCTTCCTCGCGAACATTCCACAGACCAAGGGCTTAGAACCTCACTCAGCGCCCCCGGCCGAACTGGCAAAGGGGGGCCTGCGCGGTCTCCCGGTGAGGAGCCCCACGCTCCGTCAAAGGAGTATTCTAAACGGTAAATCTAATTGGAGAGGCATCCACATGCTAGTACTTTAGAAGTTTTGGTTGCTATTAATCTATTGAGCAAGTAAGGGAAATATTCCTATCATCTATGCTATAAAATTTTCTCTTAAATTACTCATCCGATTTAGAATCCGATTACACCGATGTGTTCGTAATAATTAAATATTTATAACAAGATCTCACATGATTATATTTTGATGAAAAATCACAAATTACTTTTATGATATGTCTAAATTAATTTTAGATTTTACTAAGTTACTTCTTAGACATATAAAAGTAAATTCAGTAAAGGCTAAAAGTAATTTACATATATTATAAAAGTAACTTATAACAAAAAGAAAGTAACTTTAATTAACAAATTATCATAATGCTCTGAGGTGTTTACTTTTATTATTATTTTTAGTTAATTCCATAATTTATGCTGATTAATTTAATTTCTAGATAGAGTCATGTTTTTATCTCTACAACGGATTTACTTCAAATGACATGCTAAAGTTACCTTCGTTTTGTCCTAAGTTACTTCTGTAATATATATATATATATATATTACTTTTAGGTTTTACTGAATTTACTTTTATATATCTAAGAAGTAACTTAGTGAAATCTAAAAGTAATTTAGACATATCATAAAAGTAATTTGTGATTTTTCATCAAAATATAATCATGTGAGATCTTGTTGTAAAAATTTAATTGTTACGAACACAACGGTGTAATCGGATTGTAGATCGGATGAGTAGTTTAAGAGAAAATTGTATTTGAAGTATAGGTGGATGATGCCTCTTATAGATGGAGTGATAGCTAGTTTAGACAAACCAGCTACCACTAGCTGTATAGTTACGTCCTATTCTAAAATATGTACGTTATACCTTTTGTGTCATAAATCTAGCCAAGGCAATACACATGGGCCGCCCCGGTAGTCATAAAATTATTGTTAGAGTCAGACTTCAAAAAAAAAAATCCAAAATGGTAGTTCTATCAATTCGCCTATTACTGATTATAAGGTAACTCAAAAGTAATTTAGAAGCTCTTAACGACTTAAAAACTAATCATGAAAGACAAACTATGATAAAAAAAATTAAAATATACTCTAAAATTAAGCTCCAAAATCAATTATTTTGTTACACGGCTGATAAACTAATGAGCAAATGATAGAGCAATACCATAAGTATATAGTATAACGAAAGAACGTACTACATCTTTATTGAACGAAAATAAAGCGGTGTATACATTGTTCACACAGAGAGTCGGAAAAAGATAAATGGGTTTGGGTTACATTTATTTGCACACTCATCGGTGCATACAGATACTGCAGGTACTCGTCATCAAGTAAATACTAATATCGAGAAACAAATTCCTTTTAAATAAACACCACATCATCGATTAATTAGTTATCAGACGTAGCATTCATAGAGTTTGATGTCCATCTGCAGCCGGAAGTAGGTGAATCCCTCGAAGGCGTCGGTGCGGAGCGTGGCGACGCCGCGGGACATGAAGAAGTCACCGGTGCCGCCCACGACGGAGATGTCCCTCATCTCGGTGTTGGGGTCGGCGCCCATGAGATTGAGCGTGCCGTGGTGCGCCGTGGAGTTGAACACGACGGTGAAGGCGAACCACGCGTCGAACACCACCTTGCCGTCGTAGAGGTAGAGCCCCTGCGCCCTCACCACCGTCTCCTCCAGCGACGGCGGCAGCGCCCTCCCCTCCGTCACCGGGTCGTTGAACACCACCATCCTGCCGAAGAAGAAGCCGGGGTTGGACACGGCGGCGCTCAGCGCCGTCGGCTTGGTGGCCGCCGCCGACGTGGAGTTGGAGGTGCTGTTGCTGTAGTCGTAGAGGATGTCGTGGAGGTAGAGCCTCATCTCCTTGCACGGCTCGTCGTAGCTCCTGACGAGCCTCCTGCCGCCGCTGCGGCCGCCATTGGCGACGCTCGCCGAGCTAAGGAGGCTGACGAGGAGGAAGATGACCGCGGCGATCAGAGATGGCTTGGACCAAGTAGCCATCTGTGTGCCTAGCTTGGCGCGTAGCTTGCAGAGTAATGCAGCTAGCTAAGTAGCTAACAAACTTAACAATTTGATTAGCCTGTGATCCATCAGCTCGAGAGAATTAATAAGCTAAACGCATGCAATTAAGACAGTACGTGTTGCTGTAGCTTAATAATTAGCTGATGTGTGGAGCTCGAGTTTGCATGCTTATTTATATATAGTGTCCTTGTGAGGAGTGGCAGACTCCGAGCTAGCTAGTTGTTGTTAGGATAGAAAGGGGAAGTAAGACGACCGAATTGTTTATTCTCAATTCCGAGTTGTTAGGATAGAAAGGGGAATCAAGTGAGACGTACGCAAAGTTAGCACTGATGCTGATCCGTCAACCGCATACGGCGCGGCTCCCCTCCCCTGCTATCGAGATCCGGCCCTCCCTCTCCCTCCTAATCCAGCCGGACGGGGAGGGCAGCGATGGTATAGATGGTCAAATGGGCCGTCCGGCCAGACACGGCTCAACCAACACGCCAGACCGGTCCAGGCTTGTCCACACGCTGCACCCCTAGCTTAGACACGCCAATAAGACTCATGCCGCATGTCGGGTCGGTTTAAAGGCACGATAGCCCATCGTATTTTTTCATAAAATAAATCTATTTTTCCTCCCTTATCTATTTGGTTGTATCTTATATGACTAGAATAAGTCTATTTTATATCCCTCTTCTCTTTGGGCAGTGCCTTATATAGCTGAGTCAAGTCTATTTGGGATCCCTCAACTATTTCTCTTTGTCATGCCGAGCCGTGCCGAGGGAGCAGCCCAGGCCGGGCCGGCACGGGCACGACCCCAGCCGTCGGGCCTCGGACCAAATGGCCATCTATAGGCCACGGGTGGAGGTGGTGGCGTTTTTTTATTTGTTGAGATTGTTTTTGCCGGCGGATGGATGTTGCGCCTATGAAAAGATTTTTTTTTTGAATGCCACCGGGGGGGAACTTCTCACCTGAATTAAAATTAAGGAAACATCAAAACTGTACAAACCATACAAGAAGAAAAGAGGAAGCATAACAGAGCGAAAGAAAAGACGAAAGAGAGAGAGAAAACAAACAAGAGAGATTACATAAGGTGGAGAGGAGAGGAGAAGGATGCAAGCCAAGACGGAAGAACCGCCTGGTCAGCCAGCTTGAAACGGTTTGCCCAAAGCTTGGCGTCGTTGACGCAGCAGCGGAGAAGACGGTTGATGGATGGTGCAAGGTGCTGGAAAACAACTTCATTACGGTGGTTCCATAAGCGCCAGCAGCACAAGAGGAAGAAGGTGCTGTTTAGTCGTTCTGGAAGGTCTCCAGACCAGTGGATGGTGTGAATCTCACTCAGGGAGGTTAGCATGTGTAGCACTTGAATCAGGCCCCAGGAAGCAGAAGCCAGGGGGCAGGCAAGGAAGATGTGATCAGTGTCTTCCGGGCAGGTATTGCATAGCTGATATGTTGGGGAGGGGATGATTGACTTCTTGTGCAGGTTGACAGCAGTAGGTAGTCTGTTCATAGAAATTAACCAACCAAAAAATTTAACTATCGGAGGGGCTGAGCTCTTCCCCAGATGAATTCCTAGGGTGGCCAAAGTTGCTGACTTTCCATGGTTTTACAATAAGGGCTTAAGTTGATATCAGGCAACTGCGGCAGCTGATTGAACTTTGTATTGTGTCTTGGTCTTGTGAGAGTGGGAAGTCTTGAAGTAGGTCTTGCAGCAGATGCAGTTGTTGTTGAGCCACTGTTGACAGCCTTGGGACAAGGGGTAAATTAAGCCCAGCGTGGAGCGCTGAACGAACCGTGAGATGAGTAGTTGTGTTGTGAGAGAATAGGGCTGGGAACTCAATCGAGAGAGGTTTATCAGTCAGCCAGACATCAAGCCAGAAGTTTGTTCGACAGCCATCACCGATTTTCATAGTGGAATGAGCTCGAAGGACCGGCAGAAGAGTGATTAGAGTGTGCCAGTGTTGTCCCAGATCGGCTGAGCCGAGAGCAGGCGCCTATGAAAAGATGTAGAGGTCATCTTCTAAAGTGATTTTTGCAGGAGGGGTTAGTGGCGAAAATCGTCTATTTTCGTAAGCCTTGAAGTGCAAACGGGGTAGAGCTCCGCATGGAAAAATTTTTCTTACCCGTTTGCAAAAAAAACAGTTTTCTAGTAATGATTTGTATTAGTTATAATAATTAGCACTTCACTTTCACTACCAGGAAGCTTAATTTAGTTTCTTTCAGTTGGAGAATATGTTTGTTACTCTGTACCCCTTGATACACATTTGTTACTTATGTATCTCTGGAACAATACGTTTGTTACTCTGTACCCATGCCATCGATCAAAATCCTACGTTCGCCACTGCTATCGCCGGTTCACAACCACCGCAAATCCGGCCTGCAGCCTTGCGACCGACGAGCGCAGCACCGTTCAAACCGGTGAACATAGTCGTCTACAAGTACTAGTTATTAGAGTTTAATCAGTCTCAAAACAGCACTGAACAATGGGATAAAGGGGCCGGCAGTAGGGGTTGTAGGCGTTTAATTTTTCAACAGCATCATTTTTTGCTTTACGAATGCCACAGATTCTAAAATCTACTAACATGACAACTCAGAAAGCTCTGTGCATCTTTATCGGACTAATTAAAAATGTGAGACATTTTGCAGAGCCTTTAGGGAATTAAGAAATAAATTGAGTTGGTGCTATATACTGCGCAGGCATTTTTTTTATGGGAAAACACAGGCTTTGCCATGTGATCCTCCGACAAGTGCGCCGTATTAGGCAACAAGCTAGCTTAGCAGCAAATGCAAGCTGGTTAATTGGTTAGGTGACCACCAATTAGGAGGAGTAGTGGCATTACTTGTTGGCTTCAATTTATAAATTCGCCTCGATTAGGTCCCTTTTTCTCTACGCGTTGCGGACAATCTCGAGCAACAAAATCGCTGAAGTATTCATGCTCGTGTTTATTTCTCGAGAACGAAAGAAGAAAAAAATAAAGACGAGGAGATTATACAAATCTCACCGAGAGGCGGATGGCACGTCTCACCACGCACACGGCCACGATCCATCTTTTTAATTTGTGGGCTACAGTTGACACGGCCCCAACTAGTAGTTCTCTATATGAATATCTTTAACAAATCCCTAACTTTACACTAATAAAAGCAGATGGAATATACTATATTCACAGGAGTTTAGTATTAGTAGTAACTGAACTGCAATATAATCTGCACTGGTTGACAGAGAGTGGATATGCTTCATGAATCGGGTGTGTAGCAGTAGTAGCGCATGTGTCTTGCGTAGCCACGCACACGTGCATCACGAGCTCCATGTGCGTCTGCCCGCTTTCTACGCCGGTACTACGTGTTTCTCGCTAGACGCCTCAACAACTCATGTTTTCTAGACGCCTCAACTGAAGCAGCTGATGCACGCGCGAGAGAGATCACCGGAGATGCAACGCAACCAACAACAACAAAAGGGGCTGTTTGGATGGTGATCGTACTTTGCCACATCAAATTTTAGCCGTGCCATAATTTTTTAGTTAGTGTTTAGTTGAGTGCTACGATTAAATCAAAGTGGCCAATAAATTATTGGCCATATTTTGAGTAGCTTTACCACAGTTATAATAAATGGAGTTATGGCAAAGTTAGTCTCCATCCAAACTGCTCCTAACATATTAAATTCGGGCTTCGTCATGATCTCATCCCATCCAACCCCGTGCTCGCCAGGAAACATGCAGTACAAACCACTTAAACCGTGAAAAGCCTGAAAATTACCATTAAATTCTGAAAATAACTTCTGAGATTTGTCCACGTCATTTAGAGTAAAAAAATATTTCTGGATTCGACCACAAGTAAAAGTTTTACTTTTAATTATGTGAACCAATCTCATACACTCATTTCTAAATCCAACTATATTTTCGGGATGTTCACTATTGTACGTGGTTTGTATCACTTCCCCCCATCCTAAAATATAAGTATTTTTTAGCATAGTGAGTCAAATATTTTTTAAAATTTTTTGACTATTAATAACAAATAAATTAAAAAGATCAATCACGTAAAATTGATGTTACTATATTTATCATTAAACAAACTATCATAATATGTAAATTTTTTTTCATTTAAAACATCTTGATTTTATAGATATTGTTGATCAAATTAGCGTATCGAAAACTACGTCGAAATTCTAAAATACTTATATTTTGTGACGGGGGGAGCAACGTAGTATATTTTTTCCATGCTCACCGGCTGCGGAGCACGGCGCGCGGGAGCACACTTGAGTCCCGCGTCTCGTCTCGGTGCCAGAATCCCCGCGCGGACGGGGCGCGACGCGGTCTCCGGTGGTGCCAGCCGCGGTGACCACATAATACTATCGCGGTCGGCTCGGCTCGGCCTGACTAGTCGATCAACGAACCCACCACACCAGCGGCCGGCAGGAATCTCTCTCTCTCTCTCTCTCTCTCTCTCTCTCTCTCTGTATGTGGTGTGGTGGTGGTTAATTAACTGTTCAGTCAGGGGCAGCACAGCCACAGGTTGCTGTAGTATCTATCACAGGATCGCCATCACGACACAATTAAGACACTGATCAAGTGACTGCAGATGGATCAAGTGCATATACAAGACGCGAGCGATGGGATCCATCCATCGAGCCCACTGTGGGCACAGGCGACGGCGATTGGTTAATTGATTTTCTACTGCTGTCGTCCGATCCAATGATTCTGGTTGGAGTACTAATTAATTGACTGCTAGTACGTTCTGTAGATGATCATGTGGTGTTTGGAGCCATCTAACAGTCCACGATCCAGCTGATTCTTGGAAGGGTGTTTCCTTTGTTTATACTGGTTGTTGTACCAAATGGTTTTTTTTAACTGCATGCTACCTCCCGCCCCCGGGTAACTATCAATCATTCGTTGATACTACAAGTGAAGTGAGTGGCTAGAAGCTAAAATGAAAAAAAAAAGAAAAACAGTGCCCTTTTGGCTATACAATACAAGAAAAAACATTTTTATGCGACTTTTGAAAGAGATTTGGGAGCGTGAGACGAAATGGCCTCTCGATCGGAACTGACGAGTAGAATCGGAGTCAACTCATCGCCCATAAGACTTTTCTACCGGGCGATTTGACCAGGTATTGAAAAACTTGACAACACGCCAGTGGAAAATCAAACGAGCTCACACACAGAGTAAAATTCAAAGATCAAAATTTCAACTTTCCCTTAATTTCCACATCCTTGATAAGCCCACATTAAAAAAAAAGGAAAAACATAACAAGTTAAACACGCAGTTAACCACAAATAACGAGAAACTCAAACACGCAGGATTTTTCACATTTTGGTCCTTTTAAAAAACTTATTTCGCAAATAGACCCCTGAAAAAATTTATCCCAAAAATGGTCCTTTTTAGGGCGCCAGAGTGGCTGGCGCCGTCATCCAACGGGACGGCGCCAGCCTGCCACCGTGGCGCATGCGAACCGACGTGGCAGGAGGAGGGCGCCAGCCATACTGGCGCCGCCCCAGGGAGGAGGGCGCTAGCATGGCTGGCGCCGTCGCCTCCATTCCTGTTTCTCTGTATGGAGTTGCAACGGTGTCATTTTTATTTTATTTTTTTGGATTTTTTTTTCACACTCAAGATCACGATACAACCAACCACAAAAAAAATTAAACTCGAACTACCACTTAGCTAAGTCTGAAAATAGTTAGCATACCACTTAGTCTACTTTGCACCTTCACTAAAATTAGACCATAATTCATTTAGTAAAACCCTTTGATTAGCATGTTAAATATAATGCACTTTACCACTATATGAAATTACTTAATCTAATTCAAAATATAACCACATGAAATGACATATATAAGTTAAACAGTACATAGAGATGCAATTTTTTTATTTTTATTTCATTTTTTTGATATTTTTTTCACACTTAGGAGAACATAGGAACCAACCGTATAAAAAATAAACTCAAACGGACAAAATATGTGACTTGTAGAATTTTCCAAAACTCTACCGAAACGGACAAAATATGTCATCTATTAAAATAGGCGTAACTTTCTCATACGGACTCGGAATCAGGCAAATAATATATGCACGAACATCTACAGAAAAAGTTACATCCGATTCTCCCCAGCTTTGCGGGTTCAGCGATATTAAAACCTCCAAATTCCGCTTGCAAGATTGTGTTTTCGAGGAGAGAAGTTTTTTGGTAGAGCTTTGGAAAATTCCACATGCCACATATTTCGTCCGTTTGAGTTTATTTTTTATATGGTTGGTTCGTGTGAGTTCCTAAGTGTGAAAAAAATATCAAAAAAAATAAAATAAAAATAAAAAAGTTGCACATCTCTCCTTTGCACTAGTTTGGAGAGAGAGGAGAGGAGAGGAAAAATTCTATAGGTCACATATTACGTCCATTTGAGTTCAATTTTTCTATGGTTGGTTCTTGTGTGTCCCTAAGCGTGAAAAAAATATCAAACAAATAAAACAAAAAAAAATTTTTTTGGGGGGGGGGGGGGGGGGCGCCAGCCACTCTGGCGCACTCCCCCTAGCCACCTCAGCATCGCCCCGCCACATCGGCAGGGGGACGACGCCAGAGAGGCTGGCGCCGTCCTGTTGGACGACGGCGCCAGCCACTCTGGCGTCCTAAAAAGGACCATTTTTGGGATAAGTTTTTCTATGGATCTATTTGCAAAATAAGTTTTTTAAAAGGACAAAAATGTGAAAAATCCAGCTCAAACACGCATACGAAAGCAAAAGACATACTCCTACACAACAGCAACAAAAATTAAAAAAAAAACTTTCAAAAAAAAAAGAGAAAGGAATGCAAAAGACAAGTATGAATCCGGTCACCGACCCGGTCGCGGCTGCAACGGGAAGAGTCGCCATTCGGCAACTCCCAATAAAAACCCAGCCGAATTCCCAAAGTCTCACGCCCTTCCTCCAACTCCCCCCAAAGCCGCCACCAAACCTTCTCTTCTCCTCTCCTCTCGCGAGTGTCGAACTCCGCCACCGCGCGCGCGCGCGCCGGAGACGGCGGCCCTCCCATCCGCGGCGGGCGCCGGCAATGCGGATGGGGAAGTACGAGATGGGGCGGGCGCTGGGAGAGGGGCACTTCGGCAAGGTGAAGCTGGCGCGCCACGCCGACACCGGCGCCGCCTTCGCCATCAAGATCCTCGACCGCCAACGCATCCTCGCCATGAAGATCGACGAACAGGTGAATTAACCTTGATTGATTGCTCATCCGGGTTCCTGTTCCTTTGCTTGGCCGGCTGGTTAATTAATTTCTTGCTCAGATAAAGAGGGAGATCGCCACGTTGAAGCTGCTCAAGCACCCCAATGTCGTCCGCCTCCACGAGGTGAGCTTCGCAACCCACAGAGTTTCAGCAGAAATCCTTTCTTTTGTGTTTTTTTTACTCTCTTGCTTTCTTCCTCTTGCTGTTCAACGCCTCTTGCGCCATTGATGTTGCCGTCTGAACTCCTCTCCGGCTGCGATATAGCACTAATTTTTTTTTTAACTTGGCTGCTAATACCTCTCTTTGGATAACTCTCCCCCTTGTGTGCAGTAGAATAATTGTCCTTTTTACTGTTTCTTGACCTGGACATCTGCATAAACAATTGAGCACACGAAATGACCACCCAATATGTTTTTTTCCTGCTCATGGAAGTAGTAGGACAAGGCAAAGGGTCTTTCAGTTTCAGCAAGCAATATTATTTCCCTTTCCTTTTACTGCGCTCTTGCTTCTCGGAGTATTTTAGTCGGGTGATGATGCGCCCGTGCAGACTTGGGTTTATCAGATTCCCCTGCAGCAAAAACAAACTTGGGTTGTCACGTCAAACCCTGCGAATCTCATCACGGAGAATCGCCCACTGGAGCATTGGAATACTTGCTGATGAGATCATGTGGCTATTAGGAGCAAGGTTCATGTGCCATCTGAGCCGTACAATCTGATGATCCGATGGCCGTCGTTGCTCTACATGCTCTGAAGCCTGCCTGGTTAAGACCCAATCCAGAAGCCACCAAAAGAGCTTTCTGACGAGGTTGGCCGACATCACCCAATAATCAGAGCGATCTTTTACTAGTCACTTTTAGGCAACTTTCAGTCCTGCAAGGCAGAGAAAACACAGAAAGGCTGCACGACATGAGCCCACCACAGCAATACGTCATCATATCTATAATGCAATTCAGAAGGGAAAGTGTTAAACGTGGTTTTGGTACCATTTTTGTAAGTGTTAGGTTCACCGAATGATTGCATTAGTGGATAAATGTCCGTGAGAGGCTTACTTCTTGCAAGCGGAAGATTAGAAAATGGAGCTCCTGACTCTAAAGCAAAAACATATGCGCACCAGTGTGACTGCCCAATGATTTGGTACTGCCCAATGATTTAGTAGAGAGAGAGAGAGAGAGAGAGAGAGAGATGTTGCGGCTGTTGATCAGATCTCTGCCTCCCGATTGTTCATTAAACCTTGTTTCTGTAGGAGATGCAATTGACATCAAGAATTAGCTGGGGCTAAATTCCTCCAGTGAAAACCTTCCCCCTATCCGTCCAAACCTGATTCCCTGAAACATGGAATTAATCTTTTTATTGTTGCAGTTTCAGAAATGTCAAAAAGAAACTACTTTTCAGTTGTACACATCCACATTTTGTCCTTGGGAAGCCTGAGATAGATTACTGGTTTTTCCCCTGCAGGTTTCAGCTAGCAAAACCAAGATATACATGGTTCTTGAATATGTAAATGGAGGAGAGCTATTCGACAAAATTGTAAGGATTTTGCTTCTCATTTTAAGCATGCATTAATGAATCAAAAACAACTGATTGTGATTAGGGTTTTACACAACTCTAACAATCTGTTGATGCATGACAGGCATTAAAGGGTAAGTTGTCAGAGAAGGAAGGAAGAAAACTCTTCCAGCAGCTGATGGATGCTGTAAGCTATTGCCATGAGAAGGGAGTTTATCATAGGGACCTTAAGGTGACTACACAGTATCACTGATCTATCTTTTTCATATTTTAATTGTAAGCAAGAAAATAAGGACTGATCCAAATGGAACACACGATTAACATATGCTATTTTCTGTGTCTTCTGTAGCCGGAGAATGTCCTAGTTGATGCAAAAGGAAACATAAAGGTTTCGGATTTTGGACTAAGTGCCCTTCCACAAAATCAACGGGTATGGAATTTTCTCTTACATCAAATCAGCTGAATAAATTCGTTGGTGTCTAAAATAAGGCTCCAATTTCAGAAAGATGGATTGTTGCATACCACATGTGGCAGCCCTAACTACATCGCCCCTGAGGTAAGAATTAAGCATTCTTAAACTGAACCTATTATTGTTTCACGGTCTTTAGTTTAGTGCATATGGAGGATGTAGTTCTGACAGAGGTATATACAGGTCCTTCTCAACAGAGGTTATGATGGCTCTTTGTCCGACATATGGTCTTGTGGGGTTATCCTATATGTCATGCTTACAGGGAATCTTCCATTTGATGACCAAAATACGGTTGTCCTTTATCAGAAGGTATAAAGCAAGGAATCAAAGATTACCTCAGCAAAAATTTGGCTAATTTTATTTGGCTCAATATCTCAATTTAATTTTGTATCCAGATTCTGAAGGGGGATGCTCGTATTCCTAAATGGCTTTCCCCAGGTGCCCAAGATATACTGCGAAAAATCTTGGATCCTAACCCAATTACACGCTTAGATATAACTGGAATAAGGGCACATGAGTGGTTCAGGCAAGATTATACTCCTGCTATGCCTTTCGATGATGATGACGACAACAATATCAGTGATGGCAACCTACATATGACTGAGGTAACCCAACGTTAGGTGTACTTTTTGTTTGCCATATAATCCATTGCTTTAACTGAATGGTATAGATTGAACTCAATCTGTGTTCTCTCTCGCTTTTTTTTTTCATGGTGAAGAATCAAGATATTGAAACCAGCCCAGCAATCAGCCAAATCAATGCATTCCAGCTCATTGGGATGTCCTCATGCCTTGATCTATCTGGATTTTTTGAGAAAGAAGTAAGTTTGATCTTTCTTTCTTGACCCTATTTGCTAATTCCTTAACTAACACCTACATTAAATCCTAGCCTGCTAGCCAAAACAGACACACCCAAAGGTCAAGTAGGCCGTAAATGGAAGGGTCCCATGTGAACTCATCAGACCATAAATCATGAAATAATAAGTTAGTGACCAGCAATTTGACAAAGCCATGGATTGTTGTCTTATATATCCGATGTCCCTACTGAGACCTCTGCTACGTTAATGCCCTTAACTCAGACATGTGACTTTGTTACAGGATGTTTCTGAAAGGAAAATCAGATTTGTATCAAATTATTCCCCTACTTCTCTATTTGAGAAGATTGAGAGCACTGTCACAGAAAAGGGTTTCCAGGTACAGAAGAACAGTGGCAAGGTTAGTGACCTCAGATGTATCTACCTGTAATATTAATATGAGCTATACTTACACTGCTCATGCATAGATGTTAAACTGAAACTTATGCTATCATGTACTACAGCTAAAAGTGATCCAAGTTTGTAAAGAACCAGCAAATCCAAGAGGACATGGAAATTTATTGATTTCTGCTGAGGTACTTCTATCACATTGAACATCCATAGCAATAAATAATCAATAGTGTGCAATGTGCCAATGTGTTTCTGTTAAACATCCATGATTCTTAATATTGATGTACTGCGTTTTCAGGTGTTTGAGATCAATGAATCTCTTTATGTTGTTGAGCTAAAAAGGTCATCTGGGGATTGTTCCCTTTACAGACAGGTATTTCTCCCTCCCTTGCTGAATCAGTATTTTAATTCATTTTCTGATGGAAAATTTAAACTAAATTATTTTGTCCTAGAGCATTGTTCTTACTTCTCAAACTTCCAATATGCAATTTAACATATATGGTATTGTTTATGTTGCAGCTATGTGCGTCACTTTCTGAAGACTTGGGCATATGCAAAAGGCAACAGCTTTTGAAGAAAGATTCTATGAGACAAGACCTTTGTCGATATAACAGTAGCTTTTGATAAAAGGGTCTCTCTAGCTTTTAGTTGTGAAGGCTCTAGCATTTTTAACAAGAGCCCCCAATACAACGACGTATGACACAGTTTTGTAAAATTAAACTGTAAATACAAAACAATCCAATTGTACACCGAAAAGAGTATACCGATCATCCAAGTATTTCCTTTAGGAGTTCATTAGTTTGTGTTCTTTTTGCCTTTACTGGTAAATCGCTACCTCCTGGGCAAATTGGCTACTGACAGTGTATAAAAGTATGATGTAGACAATCTAAGTGTACATAAATAGTTACCTCATCTTGTGTTCCTTTGAAGTTATGTGTTGAATGTGTAAGTTTGTGTCTTGTTTTGGTAAAAGCATGTTAAGTTCACCAGTAATCCTTGCATGAGCACTGCCCTTCACTGAAATGATGGAAACGGTTCCGGTCTCTAACAATCAACTTGCGATCATACACCAAGGAGATCAACTTCATAGCTGAATGGCAATCTTCACAAGCTCTAAGATTCTTCGTTATTCGAATAGTTGACCTCGCAGGGGTAGTTAGCAGCGCAAAAGCAATGGCCAGCTTCTCACTATGTTCAGCCAAGGAGCGTTCCTTAGATTGCTCATCAATATCTTGCAATACCAAACCTGTCATAGGCTTATAACCTGCTTGTTTTAACCGATCCATCATCTCTTCCAACACTCTGTAGATCTCCTTGGACCTTGGATGCAATCTATCACCAGAGACAAACTCATGAATCTTTTCATCCCATTCAATTGAACTTCTTCCAGGAATCCTCTGAATATTGTCCCTTCTAATCGTCTTCCTCATTTCTGCAACACCTTCCCAAGAGTTTGCCTGTGCATATATATTTGACAATAGCACATAGTGTCCATCACCAAGAGGATCCAGAACTCGCAGTTTGGCCATGGCTTCCTCTGCAATCTCCACATTCTTATGGATGCGACAGGCCCCAAGTAGTGCTCTCCAGATAATTGTGTCGGGTTCGAATGTCATGCTCCTGATGAGTTGTCTTGCCTCCTCAACATGGCCTGAACGCCCCAGAAGATCAACCATACATCCATAGTGCTCAACTGTTGGCTCTATACCATGAACTTCATTCATTGATCTAAAATACTTCTTGCCTTCGCTCACAAGGCCAACATGAGTACACGCGATAAGAACACCGACGAAGGTGACCCCATTCGGTTTCATCCCTTCAGATATCATCTTCGAGAACAAGCTGAGCGACTCATGGCCAAGCCCGTGATTGGCCAGTCCGATAATCATTGAACTCCAAGTTTGCACATCCTTCTCTGGCATTCTGTCGAACACTCTCTGTGCACTCTCAATGTCACCACACTTGGCATACATGTCGATCAGAGCAGTGCCAAGCTTCAAGTCCAGCTCTATCCTGTTGCTCTCCACGAAGCGGTGTACCTCTGCACCAACGGCCAGCGCTCCCAAATCACTGCACGCCGAGACCACGCTCACCAAGGTAATGCAGTCCGGGATGATGCTGGCGGCGTGCATCTCCCGCCACAGCTCCAGCGCTTCCTTGGATCGCCGGCTCTTAGCGTAAGCGGAGATCATCGAGCTCCAGGAGAAGGCATCCCTGTCCTCCGTCCCGTCGAATATCTCCCTCGCCAAGCCGACCTCCCCTCTCATGGCGTACCCATGGATCATCGTGTTCCAGGACACCAAGTCCCTCATCGGCATTCCGTCGAACACCTTCCTGGCCTCCGCGACCTCGGAGCGCGAGACGTACGCAGCGAGCATGACGTTGCAGAGGAACACGTCGCGCAGGGGCGCCTCGTCGAAGGCGTCCCGCGCGAGGTCGACGCGCCCCGCCTTGGCGTACATCTCGACGAGCGCGGTGCGGACGAAGAGGTCGGCGGCGGCGAACCCCGACCTGAGCGCGCGCGCGTGGAGCGCGGCGCCGACGGACACGGGCGCCGCCGCGGACCCGCACGCCTGGAGCGCGACGGAGAGCGAGAAGGAGGTGGCGAGGAGCCGCGGCGCGCGCGGGAGGAGCCCGGCGAGGAGGCGGAGGGACTGCAGCGGGAGGCTCGCGCGGAGGTAGGCGCGCATCACGCCGGTGGCGTAGAGCACGTCCGGCCTCGCCGACTTCTCGAGGCGCGCGTGCACTGCCTGCTGCTCCGGCAACGCCGCCGTCGCCGCCGCCGCCGCTCCCCGCTTGCCGCGCATCGAGTCGAGAGAGAGGGAGATCCCCCCCTAGTTTGTACATGGCGTTTTAAAAAAACATCAAAATATTTGAAAATTTTAATAAGATAAAACAATATGATATATAATTCCACGAACATACAAGTTCGAATTCGGTTTATATAATTAAAAACAAATATGATAAATTTGATTGTTATATTTATTGTCAAATTTATATTTTTATACTTATATATAAATTAAATTTGAACATACATATTTGTGGAGTGATATATTACATATTGATCTATTTTATTATTTTATAAAAACGAGGAAAATTGCTATGCACACAACATGTACAACTAAAATTGATTAACGGTTGTAAACGGTTGCAATGCATATGAACATATTCTTTTTTATTGATCTATGTTGTACTCCTTCCGTTTAAAAAAATCCAACCTCCTACTACGATGTAAAATATTTTATCTATGTCCAGATTCGTTGTCACATCCTAGTACTTGTTTTTTTACGAAGGGAGTACGTCTTTAGTTGTACTCGAAAAGGAGAGGAGAGGGCTTTAGCAGGAGCTAAGCAGTTGCGTGAGTTAATCCCGCACTCTGTATAATGTACAGCTATAGTGGTTCTTCGTTTTCCTTTTATCTCTAGGGATTTGTATTTTCTCATACTCTATCCAATGAAAAGGCACTCCGTTCAAAAAAAAAAAAAAAGAGAGGAGAGTTTCCCGGAGAGAGAGAAAGGGGAGGCAAATTGCTCGGGAAAAGTCGGGTGCTTCTCGGCCGCCAGATCGGCGGAAGCGATATCCGACGGGTATAACGCCGCCACGTAGTCATCCGCACGAGGCAAATACGTGGAGCGGCCTCGGCTGCTGCTTCTTCCATTCGCTTTCGCCTACCCGCCGCCGCGACACGGAATTTCAGGCGGCGCCGCTCGCCGGAGAAGTGGTCGGCCCCCGTCGAGAGGGAGGGTTAGACAGGGAGAAGGAGAGGATGAGGAGCAGCGAGGCCATGGAGCTCCTGGGCCTCCCAGCGCACACCCGCCCGTCGCCTTCCGAGGTATTCATCTTCTCGATTCCCTCTCTCGCCGCTCCACCGACGAATCTCCAAATCCGATGCTTCTTCCTGGGGGTTGGTACGGCCTTGATTAGGTAGCTCTTGCTCGGAAGAAGCGATTTTAGAGCTGGATTTTGGCGGGACGGGGTGCCAATTTGAGAACCTGATTGCTATGCGGTTGGGAGTTCTTTGAGTTTGTGGTGGTGTTCTGAACCTCTGAAGCTTTTGATTCAGGTTAAGGCTGCGTATAGGAGAATGGTGATGGAATCGCATCCTGATCGTGTCCCGACGCATCAGAAGTCTCAAGCCGAGTCAAAATTCAAGCAGGTCAGGTACAGATTGATCTCTGATCATTGTGGAAAACTCCTAGGCCATCATGTTTTTCGGTTTCATGGTGACGGTGTGCTTCAAGCATGAACTTTATGATATGTGCTTTCCACAATCAAATGGCCGATGTATGCTTGTTTTTGTATCACTAGCTTTCCAGGACTTATCATAAACATGTATGTATATGGCTTTGCAATACTGCACGCGGAAGAATTTTTCATGTCTGCATGATAATTAGCAATACTAATCCGTTTCCAGTTGGATGAATCTGAATGCGGATTTACCAAATGAGCATTCCGTACACTTTCTGAAGTTGATAAAGTGTGAGTTTTAACGTTTCGTGCTTCTGTTTTTTCAGATATCAGAAGCATATTCTTGTTTGAAGGATGGTATGTCACATTTCTGCTCATCTAAATAATCAACGCAAACTCATTCCCTTTACCTATATTGCTACTCACTCAATCGCTTACCAATGAGATTTTTTTTTCTTTGTTGTCGCTGTTTTCAGGAAGAAGATATGGGAGTAGGATGGAAGGTAACAAAATCAATTTCATGAACACAAAATTTGCTGTTCTTTGTGGTAGCTAATGAGATTCATCATCATACATGCAGTACATGTGATGAGGTCTGGTGTTCCGACGGGATTTGGACGATCAAATAAGACATTGGTTAAAGCCCCTTTTCTACTCATAATTTTTGCAGCGGTTTCATTGGGTGGATTCAGCGCTTCAAGGTAATTCAAAGATCCCAGAGTTTGCCCTCTCCATTCTGTTTTTATTTCTGAATTGATTGAGGAATCAACTTTGGTTTTTTGAAGAGCATACCAGCGGCAGAAAGCAATGTGTTCCTCTCAGAATCCATTTCTTCCATAGAGCAAGGCAATTGTAGCATTTCCCTATTGACAAGCGGAGCAGAGTTATGTGTACATTGTAAAACAATCATGCTGGGAACAGAAGCACCAAATGCAAGTCCCATGTACATTGTAAACAATCATCAAGTTTGTGAATAAAAGCATGAGTTGCTCTTTGTGGTTTACCATGATAGGGTGCTATTATTTTTCTGCCTGTGCCAAGACAGTTCGTGCTATAAAACATGAACACATAACAGCATTCAACAAGTAAATGGTCTACTGATGATTTGTCAATTTAGTGATATTTGTTTTCAACTTGGCACTTTTGTCTCCAATTGGTCAGTATGACAAATGAAGACATCAATACTACTCAACTAGCAAATCTCTTCTAGTTGAACTGTTCATGATTGCGACCCAATTGTCGTGTTTTCATTTTTTTTTCATCGTTTGTTCGACTGCTGATAAATTGTGGAAACATAAAGGATTGTGTTCTTGCCGAACTACGATGAAAAGACATCAAAAGTTAACTCTAAATTTAAGTTTTAAAATTTAACATATTGGTTGTGACTAATAATCCAACGAGCAAACGATGGACATATTCAGATATACATTTTGAACTGAAAATATTTCATATATAGTGAACAAAGAAAGATCATTACATAAACCACGCTGCAAGTGAGGTACAAACTCAGATCTATTGAAGTTGCTCGTGCTCATCCTACAGGGTTGTTAGTTTATGCTGATTAAAGTACTGCATCTCTCTTAAACACAAGGATCAACCGGAACTCCAGCATCTGTAGTAGCAATATTAACTCATTCCCGCATTCCTGCTTGAGTTGAGTGTAAGTGTTCGCAGAACGGCTGGATTACATTACACGAGATACAACTCATGCAAATTATAGTAGTTGCAACATGAGAATTCAAGCATCTGGCAGAACCAGCGGCCGTTAAGAGCCTATTCGCAAATCCTAAGGATTAATTACTATGAATGCTATTCGATTCACAGAAATTTTCCTTTCCAAGTTGTTGAGAGAAAACATAGAAAATTTTCCATCCACTCAAACCTCATGAAAAAATTCCTATGGATTGAAGTGTGCATCCATTAATTCTTATGGATTGAAGTGTGCATGCATTTATATTCCTTCAATATTCCTATTCCTATGTGTCGAACTCCAAAACGAATAGCACCTAAATAGATTTACAAGAAACATGATACTGATAAACATTAGCTGATTCCCAGCCTTCCCCAGCAGAGTAAGCCGACAAAAGGATAACTGTGGAGACAATGCAAGCACACAACAGCACAAAACGAATATGTACATAAATCATAGCAAGTTTATAGTTCCATGGCACGCTGGCAAGGTTACCAAGGCAGCTCTAAGCCTCTAATGCATTACTGACAATATTGACATGTACCACAAGCCATAGCAGGGGTAGCTTTGTATCCACTCGAAGACTCAGACACATTGATTAAATGGACAGCAAAGGATCTCTGAACATCACATGGTTCATTCATCGATCCATTCGTGTTAAGACGAAGGGGCTTCAACTTCGGTACTCCATTGAACTGAACAGCTTGAATAGTTAGCATATTCTGGTGCCACTATGGCAGATTTCCACAAAATAGACAATAATATTTTGAGCAGATCATAACCTCCCAATATCAGGCACTATTATACTGCCTGAACAAAAGATCGTTGTTCTGTATCCATTTTGCTGATTGAAGAACCACTGGACTATCCTTATCATACCATTAACCACCACCTATGCTGTTCCTGGAGTACTGGAAGAAAAACCAGTGACAGTTTGATCCCAAGTTCCCAACTAACCACTAAGCTTAAACTAGTAACTATTTCATCTTTAGAAGAAAGGTTTGGCATACTGTAGATGCACCATCATACTAATAACTTTCACCAGAGCATAGCATTTGAAGAAACCACCAGGGCCTCAAATTATCCATCTGACATGAGCAGACAAATGTACCAAGGCTAAGCTTTCCCACCAGCACCTGTCGTGGCATCAACCACTATAATGTTAAACGACAACGGCTGCCACCCTGAAGAATGCGGCACAAACCACTTCTTTGTATTGATTATGATATACAAAATCTGAAGAACTTCACCAAGGGCAAGATGTTTCAAGCATTGATTCTTTAAGACAATTGCAGCTTGATACCTGCAAACAGAGGATATTGAAACACCATAAAACAGAATTCAAGAAAAAGATACAGAGGATTAACACATATTGATGGGTGTCAGGCCTTACTTGGATCTAGAATTCTTTATAGCAGAGCTGCCAGAGGTGGAAGATATGAACCTATGAACAGCATCAAACGTATCTTTTGGATATTTTGCATTTATATCCATTATATTCACACATTTCCAAAGATTTTGGTTCTTCCCCAAATAGAATGACATAGGACCTAACATTTTCAAGACGATGGCTTGATGCTGAATGGCAAGTTCAAGAGCCTTCTTAACATCAAAATTTGGTAAGTTAGCTTCTCCATAACGTATACAATCTGAAATATGCTGTTCTATTGGTGGAATCTTCTCTGTCTTCAATACTTCCAAAGCACCTAATATATTTCTTATAAGACCTTGAGGGTCAGAAGATGGCTGTGGATATCCTGGGTTCACTCCCCATTGTCCAGCATTTTGCATGTTGCTGGGCATACTAGGTGGTGTTGGAGGTCTGTAACTATTATAAGCAGGCTGAACATTATGAGGAGAGCCAGAATGGTTAGGGTGGTAGTTCATGTTCACACCTTGGTTGTCATGAATTCCTCTGGGGTATCCAGAAATATTTATCCGATTCAAATCAGGATAATTAACTGGTGGGCTGTGATAGGGAGGGGCACTTGGCCAGGATTGCAGTGGTGCAGTAGGAGCGCCATTATGCCCAGCTGATGGTGAGCATGAGTTGGTTCTTTGTGAACTCAATGTATGATGAAAAATCTCAGATCCACTATGAGGATGAGTAATTGAATTTTGTGGTCTTGGAGACTGGGAGGTATGAGGTTTATGATGTTTTGGATTATAGCCACCACCGTTGCCAGAGTCAGGAGTACCATTCTTCGCAGCAGATTCCGCTGAGGCACCAGACTTCTTACTATTGAAGTCATGTGGAGCAGTCTTTTGATGGCAATGAGCAGATTTTGCAGGCTTTTTAGGCAGGGAAAAGGGCTGAACTTTTGGTTTACTTGACTGGTTCACCTTTGCCCCATCCTGTGATTCAGAGCTTGATGATGAAGATGACGATGGCATAGAAGACTGAGTTGGATGGTCAGTAGTGTATTCTTTAGAATTATCAGCAACTTCAACTGAATTTTCTTCGTTGCTTGCTGGTTTAGATACATTGTCTGACTGGTTTCTTCGAGGTTGCTTCACTTTAGATTGCTTATCTGCCTTGCCATTACCACCCTTTTGATGATCAGACTGGAGACCATTCTGAGGGTTTGTGTCTGTAGTAGTGTCTGAAGAATCTGAATTAATGTTCTTAGACTTATCTAACTCAACCATATTGCCACTTGCTGTGCTACTAACATATGGCGACTCTGCTAGAGGTGGTTCTCCAGCTACAAGGCTTTTCCAGAGCCAAACACTTTTCGCTGCAGCAGTAAGGGCCTGAGACACATTTGGAGGCTGTGCTAGTAGAATATTGTACCGTCTCATTGTAAGCTTATGAAGGGCATTAGAGAAATCCCGATCACCAGAAATTAACAAATAGTTTGCTGGTGGAGGGTTGTCAATAGCCCAGAACAGCATGTCAACTAAGATCTTCTTATCACTTGCATCTTTAATACCTGCCAGTTGATAGGAAACAAATTAGTTGATATCAATTCTGTCATTGTTTAAGAGAAAATGAAACTGTTTAATAATATAAGTCTTGCAAATTCATGAATCTTTTTATGCAAAAAATTTGCTTCCATGAAACAAGCTCTAGTTTGCAAGAATAATTAAGAAACATGGATTCAAAATCAGCACGCAGCTATGCCAATGACATGTATAATCGCCAACATTCAGAAGAATATCTGGGATGCAATATAGTGGTTAAGGCTGTACAGGTCCGGTTAAACTGGATTTTGCCAACCCACACAGGAATAACATGGTATGTGCCTGTATTTATTCCAGTTTGACAAAACATAACTAGGTTGATTCACCCCTAATAGTAATAACTCAAAATCATTCTTCAAAACATTACACAAATCGTACAACTGTGGACCTAAGAGAAGATGAAAACTCGAAGACGCGGTTATTAGAAAACAAAATTGACCTAGTCTACTACACAAAGTCAAATGGAAGACATGGCTACTAGAGGCTTAGAACTTTGTAACCCGTAGTATCATATCACGCAAACACAATCAAAATCATAACAGCAACCAGTACAAATAACTACACCACAAGAACCAAACCCAGCAAAGTCCACAACCAAACCCCGAGGACCCCAAATATCACATCCCCCAATCACCACATAAAAAGATACTAGCATAGAACCACATTTATATGTAATCTTAACATCCACTATTCCAAACCCTCATCAATCCTTTTCCTAGCCAACACCATCAATACTACGACAACCCTGTCAAAGGCCAGAAGAGAACACCATCAATACCACGACAACCCTGTCAAAGCCAGAAGAGAAACTACACCTACACGGCTAAGATCCAGCAACAGGTGCATGTCTCCATGGAAACATCCAAACCTCCATGATTTCCACTGTTGCCCTCGACTATTACGACAGATCCATCAAACCTACACGAACCGAAGCATTTAAAGCGAATATGGCACAAATCCAGCCGACCACGCACCACCGAGAATACGCAATCTAACATGCATTGGTAATCAGGCACCGGATCGCCACTCCGCGAGCAATTTCAGAGCAGAGAGGGGAGGTTGGGGGAGGCGAGGAGGAGGAGGAGGGGGGTTCCGTTTCCGTACCGGCGGGGACGTGGTTGAGGGAGATGCCGGTGCTGGAGAGGGCGTGGGTGACGGCGTTGCCGATGCGGCCGATGTCGCCGTAGGCGGAGATGGAGACGGGGCCGGTGTAGCCGGCGGCGGCGAGGGCGGAGCTCATGTTCTGGGCGATGAGGTTGGGGTCGCAGGCGCGGGGGACCTGGCAGTTCTCGATGTCCCACCACACCGACGTCTTCGCCGTCGCGTACTCCGCCATCGCCACCGCCGCCGCCGCCGGTCGCCGACTCCGGTGATCCCCCCCTAGGGTTCGCCGGCGGTGAGGTGGGGGGAGTGGGGGGCTGGGGTTTGCGGGCGTGGAGAGGATTTTTTATTGGTTTTCGACGGCGGCGGCGTCGAGGTGGACTCGAGGAGAAGCTATTCTTTTGATTTTTTTTAGATAAAAAAATATAATTAAGGACGATATTTGTATATGGATAAAATAGTTTGGTGCGAAGTGGAGAGAAGTATAAAAAAAACATATACACGGATATCCGTACCTGGATTTGTTTTTTCTAATGCGGGGGGAGTAAAGTTCAATGGATACAATAAGATCTTTTTACTTATGCTAAGTCAAAATTTAAATTTTAAAATTTAGTTTTAGAGTTGATTTTGTGATTTTTTTTATAATGATTTATTTTACAGTATTTGTTTTTAATCGTTAAGGACACGTATATAAAGGTTATACGTATAAGTTATTTTCTAATTGCTAATAAACCTGTCGATAAGCATATGAATAAGCGAAACGATTGCACCAAATAAAGTATTTCCTTTTTGAAATTTAGACGTACGTTTTTGGAAGGCATGCAATCAAATTTGTGCAGGAATCCAAACCATTAGATTTTCCATGCACACATTATTGAACATCTGTAGTAGAATATATGCACGTGGATTTTCATTATTACTAAACCATTTTAAATTTTTGATTCTAAAAATAAACCCCCAAATTTATTGAAAAAGTAAACTTTTTTTACCACGCCATCCGAAGGGGAGTAGCAAGACAATGCAAAGGCAGGGATCAGGATCCTATGCAGTTGACTGCTCCGTGCTGTTATCACTGACATGTGATAAATGCACGGTAAAGTGACTGCAGAGGATCTCATCAATCCGCAAGGGCAGTAGCCTACCACGTCATTGCGGGTGCCATGTCATGGTTTTTTTTACTGGTGCCAATTAAAATAGTATGATTAGAGATGTTTAAATATAGCAATAGGTTTTTGGATGGTTTCTTTTCAAAATTTTAAAAAGTGTTTCAAAAACAATCCATGGTTGTTGGTTGCTATCTGTTTTCTCCATAGAAAAGGTAAAGGTTAATCATGACTTGACAGAAAGATTTTATGTTTTTATACGGAAAAAGAGAGAGCCCACATAGCAGTGCGTATATTCATTCGCAAATGAAGGCTCTCACAGTTCGCTCTACGGCTAATAAACCATAGAAAAATAAACGAGTCAACTGAATAAAAATAATTTATCGGTGTAACTTTTATTATTCTTTGTATTGTAAAAATCAAAACTAAAATGAAAAATTTTATCTGCAAGTAAATCTTTTTGGCAGGTACACAGAGAGCACAATGGTGATGGTGCATACCTACCATGGAAAGCAATGACCTACTATCAAAAGGCGCAGAACAAACTGCATCATCAGGACATGGAAAAAAAGCAAAGCTGCGTCATCGAAAGCTATAATACAGAGTAAAGTAGTAAAACCAATAAAAGCAGATTGGGCTATAGAACAGGAAAATGCACTACTTTAAAGAAGTTAAATCAGTGAACAGCTAAAGGAGAATGGGCCGATGAGTTAATTTCTTCTCCTTTTTATTAGAAGAATAAATAAATGAATTTAGTAAAAAGAAAACATGGTTACAAAAAAAATGATGGAGGCATCCTTTGGAATAGAGAAATTTTAGAGAATTTTCGTATGAATTAAACCAATTACTGTGAAATCCTACAAAATTCATAGGTTCCAAAAGACTTCTTAAGGGACATGTGCTGGCCCATGTAGTAGTCCTTTTGCTTAGACAACAAGAAAGAACGGCGTCTGAAGAAATGGTTTTTGCAGAACCGTGTAACTTTTTTTTAAAAAAAGAGAATCGCAACTTAAAAGGTTTATGTTCCCTCTTCATGAGAGTGTACTTATCTTATGTTTTTTACATTGTGTTTTGTATCACATGAATGATTAATGCGCACCATATTGTTTACTATCTCATTGACTCAAGAAACGTCCACACTTTGAGGTTTTGTTAAGTGACGTGTTCGTCGCTGTCTATCACGGCCCTCGTTCTAGCACTGGAAGGCCTTGCCTGTTCGGCCGCTCCAGTCCCCTTCCTCCTCAATCTTCCGCATCCTCGCCAATGGCAATGGCATGGAGAAGGAGATCCATATCTCGTCCTAGTCAAATAAAGTTTTTAGGTTTTTCCTCAAGTAAAATCCTTATAGGGTTTTAGATTTCCGAGATAATCGAGAGTTTATCTTTGTCTATGGATTACGGAATCTAGACAATTATTGACAAGATAGAATAGATCTTCCCTCTGTTGGTCAAGTTTTTATTTAATTGGCAGTATCGGCTTTAGGACCTGGTTTGCCGACATGTTCACTTATGCCAGTTTTCTAACTCGTTGGAAGAATGAAGACGATGATCGATGCTCGTTTATATGGTTTTGCACATGTTGAAGTTGATCGATGTTGTGACTGCACTCATTTGCTCGTATCTCTTGTGGTAATCTAAGATATAGAGCCTCTTTGTTCTATTTTCTCATATTCTTCCTTTCTTGCTTTTGTAACAACAGGGTTGTGATATATCCTCTTATTTAATATATGGGAGAATAGCATATTTGGTCCTTCAACTTTTGCTTGGAGATCAATATGGTCATTGATATTTCATTTTGTTCAAACTGGTCCTCAAAGTCTATCTTTCAGTCTGCTATGGTCCTTAGACCCACCAGAAAACATCACGCACACATACCGTCTCACAATCTTATACAGATTTGTCATGAAATGTCTAATATACCCTTACATACAACATAAGAGAGAAAAAAGAAAAATGTCACACACATTTGCAAATACTCAAATATATCGATTTGTCTATCAATACATCTAACATAATCAATTTTGTGTATATATCAATTCTTGGGATTAGATTAAATTATCTAATCATATAAAATTAATTAGTTACAGTATTTCATATCACATACAAATGGACAGATCAGACATTTCACCATCCATTTTTAATAAGATGATGACATGGCATGTCTACATTACGCTTCTAGTGGACCTAAGGTTCATATTGGACCATATGACAAAGTTTATAGATCTGATTGGAAAAAATAAAATATCAAGGACCATATTGACCTCAAAGCGAAAATTTAGGGACCAAATGTGCTATTCTCCCTTAATATATTTTATCATGTTTCGAAAAAAAAAACAGAAAATAGTTCATGCTTTGTTAACTTTAGGATGAACTAGTTGGTGCTAAACTCAACACCAAGCTTTTATAACCCCTAGGTGCATACTTGATTTGCAAAATTCCAGAACCGACAGCACGAGGTTTTCTCCCCAGATCAATGGACAGAGAAGTTTCAAAAGCTGCAAACTATATGTAGAACAAAAGACATTCACTTGATGAAGTTAGCTTACTACTGATAACTATCAAAGTACAATCTGCACCAAGCCATGAAGCTCAACAAGTACGAGAAGTATGAACAATGCCATGTGCGTGGCAGAAGAATTCTACATTTCGCTACAAGGCAGAGTAGAGAGAGAGAGAAAGAGAGAGAGGAGACTTGTGCTCATGCTGCTGCAAAGCTGAAGTGATGAAACCGTGGCAACTACTGTAGAAGGTTAACAGCTATAGGTGGCTGGCACTTGAAAACAATATTCCAAACCAGCCCAGGAATTACAAGAGACAAGAGCAACCTAATTAATTACAGAGATGGTATCAGGACAGGGAAGCCTTCAAGGCAAGGGCTCCTCCGAATCTCCCAACCGTGACAAGTGCAGGTAAGCATCGGTGCCTAAATGACAGAAAAGGCAAGACTGGTCAGATCAACATATAGTGGATTATAAATCTAGAATTTGTGATAATTGCAAAACAAAGAAATACACAAAAAATAATCAGTTAAACATGGATGGATTGTTCAGCATCTAATTCTATAACAAGTAATTGGACTTTGTCAGCACATAAAAAAACAGAAAACCTCAGCTAAACAAAGGCTAAATTATTAGACATTCACATTGGTTAGAAATCAGAAAGGAAATGAAGTGTGGGAATACCGTATCCTTCCATAGAGATGATTTGCAGGTCACCACCAAAATATCGAGCATACAGGCGACTGATTGGAAGACCATAGCCATATCCAGCCATAGTTACTCCTTCACTAGGGCAATCCATATCAGGTGGATTCTTTGCAGTGCTATATAGATATGTGAAAATTCTTGGAAGGCCGCTCCTTGGTATTCCACCACCTTCATCACTAACCTGCATCAGCATAACATTGATGTTGAAACACTTAAATATCACTTCCCTTATTTTATGAAAATTCCAACTCCCTGATGTTTCCTCACATGGAATATTTCTCAAATTTATTCCAACTAGAATACATTATATATTGCACCAAAAGATTGAGCAAGATGTAACTTCTAACGACGGAAAGCATCTGCCACGTAAAAAGACAGTAGCACCTATCATTCTTGACACTGACCAGTTTCTAGTAATGATAGTAATGATATGCCCCACAAATAACATGGCAGCTGTACAGAAAGGCAGCTTGACTTGCATCACATAATAACAGTATATCAAATAATGTTCTTCAGCTAATTAAATTTTCTGTTCGTCAATATTACTAGAAACAAATATACCATTCAATTTGCATCCACTTCAAAGATAAAATATAGCATCTTTCTTACTGCCAGATTGGTTTAAAGTTGAGACATGTCCTGTTCAGCAGCCAGCGCTAATTCTTACCTGATCCTTCTGCCAGTCACCATCCAACTCAACTAATTCGATATAACTATATAAGTCAGAGTTATTCATATTTGCTATTTATGCCAAGAATGTTAAAATCGTATGATAAATTGGTGCCAGTGGAACTTCCATTACAGTCATTTGAGTCTAAAAACTTGTAAAGGTACAACTCATTTAATGACTGCTCATACCCAGGGAGCTAGGATGCTATTAATAACAGATGTTTGGTGATGTAATAGATGAATACCTTGATAGTTACATCCTCTGCCCCATCAGCAACGATAATTCTAACTGGAGGAACATCTTTATCGGAATTCATATATCGTTCCTGTACTGCACGCAAGGAGTTCTTCACCAATTCAAATAGCATGAGATGTAGATGTGATGAAACATATCTGCAGTTTACAAGGTTAAAGGAGTTAACACATTAGTATGCCAAAATTTAGTAGGCAGTAAAAGATGACCCCGAACAAATTATGTCTTATAAGAATAGTCAAATTGAACAGAAAACAAGCTCTATGACAATAGAAGAATAATCACACAAGATGCACTAACAGAAAACATGAACTGGACTAAAACATGGTTAATGAAGTTTGAAAAAAACTAATGTTAATTTATATCGGAGACTTACGGAAATGTAAAAGTTGGGTCTCCATAGATGTCAATCTCAGGAGCTGATCCATATTCCCTCAAACAAATAGAACGGGCATCTTCACTGGCAGCTTGAGCCACCTGTATAGGGGACAATTCTGTATTAATGAGGCCTATGACGCCAGGCTCTGGGTCAGGATCATGCAAAGCCACATGCTGCCCTGAAATTAAGCAAGTTGACAATAACTCAGAACAAGAATCTATCAATAACTAGAACTGCACTCTTATATGATTAGACAAATTAGCACATAAACCACCATACGATTTAGGACAGGTTAGGAGATAAAGTTGACTAAAAAAAGATGTCACTGCCGGTACACCAAATCCAGAGTTGCATTATGACAAAAAAGCAGTGTCAAGCTTGCTAACCTATAAGCATGCGGATCCCAATCCTTGACATGTAGAATCTGTCAAGAAACTCGTGGATCTCGTCAAATGCAGTGGGGATCTTCCTTGTGCGATACTGCTCGTTCTTGAGCTGTTGAACTCCCAGTGCCATCGTTGGAACCACATTATTGTGGCGTACTTTGATCATCTTGATCATCTGCGTAAAAGCGAGCTCGTCGTTCCTATTCCTCACTTCTGGAAAGTATCTGATGTCGCGGAAAGAGTCCAAGTACCAATCCCGCACCTTCAAATATGGCGAACAAACCCACCATCAGTCCCACAATAAGAAACTTAAAATTTGCATGAATGAATTCAGCTGCGAAAATTCCTTGATTAAATATTTACTCTGTGCTGACTCCAAAATTATTCTAGTACAGGCGTGATAAGATCAATAAGACAGCACAACATAAACTTGAAGCAAATTAAGAACCCCCGACCCCACTCCAAGAGAACAAAATTCAAGCAAGTTGGCGAGCAAGAATATCTAAAATTGCCCCCCTTATCCTACTTTTTTTAGAACACCTTTCGAATATTAACAACACAAACACACAATTGATGCTGTGTCAAGAGTTATCGACTACTACACCAATTTCAACCAATACAAATCGCACATTTTAAGTAGTTGCATGTGGTAGTGATGTACCTTATTCACACTCCACTCCCCCAGAATTACCTTTCAAAAAAAATTTCCCAGAATTAATGATAAAGGTGATATTCTAATAATAACAAAACATGAAAGACATCAAAGGATCCATCCAAAAGGCGCCACCTCTTTTTAGAATAATTCCTATTAAACATCACTGCAAGATAAGCAGATTCAGATAAGCATGCAACGGCATAACCCATCCATAATCAACCGAGCCACACACCGAAAACTCGCCATTAATTCATCATCCATCCACGGGCCAAAACGACAGAACAAACAATCGCCATGATTCAGTGTGGGCATAGAGTAATATACATCCAATCGCCCACCAAATCATCAATCAATCAACCAATCGATCACAACGAACACACAGAGAGATAGAGAGGTGCGCGTGGTAAGTAACTACCTTGAGGATGGCGGGCTTGCGGGAGAGGCCGAAGGGGAGGGACTCGAGCTCGAGCGCGCGGCGCGCGATCCGGATTGGGAGCTCCTTCTGCAGGAACTGCGCGGAGAGCAGCAGGTTCCGCTCCGTGGGGCGCGACCCGAACTCCATCATGTAGCGCAGGCTCACCCCCGTCTGCTTCATGCTCCCCCACCTCCCCACCTCCTCCGCCACCGCCCTCGCCACCGGCTCCGACGCCATCCTCCCCCCACCTCCACCTCCACTTCTACCTCCTTCACCGGCGGCGAGATTTGGGGATCGACGAGCGCGGCATGGGAGGCCGAGCCGAGCTCGCGCGCTTATAAAGCGGAGGAAGCGAAGAACAGAGGAGAGGTGTGTGGCGTCAAGAAAAATAAAAAAATAAAAGAAGAAAAAAATTGCTGGATTAGCGCTGCACTGGTGTGTCCCGGATAGAAGGAGAGGAATATGGTGGGGCCCAGGTGTCAGTGGGAGAGGGGTATCCCGTGCAAGGTCTGTGGGGCCGAGGTGTCAGTGGGAGAGGGTGGTTTACTGGTGTCCAGCGCTAGGTCTGTGGGGCCGGGTGTCAGTGGGTGGTTGGTCATTGGAATCTGTTGTTAGCCACATGAGCTTATCTACTATGAATTAGTGGGATAAATCTCAGGACAATCGCCCCAGCTTAATCATGTGTTTTTTTAATCTATCGTTTCGACATTTCCGTAATCTTTATCCAAAAGTATGTTGTGCTTAGTGTAAATATGTTCGATCAGAATTTCCGAAACCTCAAAATTCAAAAAGTTCTAATTGGATCGAATAAACAAGCATTCCTCGTATATTAATGGCCGAAGGAATATTTTTGAACTAAATTAGGCCTATGTTTAGAGTACAATTAAACTTTAGTAGAGGGATGCGGTCATGGTCGACGACGAAGACGACTTCACACGGAAATTTGGTCCAATGGCACTACCAGGAGAATGAATCTTTTTTATGCTAAATGAATCATTTCATTTATGCTAATTTACTAGTGGACACTATTCATGGAAGATTCAGGCCACATGCTCATTTTCCCCCCACATGCATGCACAACACCACCAAACCGCAGAAAATGACCCCAAACGATTCCAGGCCTCAAAATTCTCCAAAATCAAGAATAAATATCCATGGGTTAAATTTTTAAAATTAACCATATCAGTAGGAAATATCACAGTGGTTAAGAATCTTTCAGAAAGAGATATGGCTAGCTTTATACCATAAGTTGTGATCTAAGTGACAAAGGCCATTGGAGAGAGTTCCAGGCATGGAGCGAGGCAGGATGGCCACAGGTTTGGATCCATGGTGGTGGAGAGATCCAACGATTCGGCGCAAAGGGAGAACCATAGGTTTTGTTTGTAATAATCATCAGTGTAATACGTTATTACCTTCGAGGCTTAATTCTTTTCGGATTATTTATCGAATTGTTGAAACGAATTGTTTACTTCACGTTTTTAAAAAAATATTCATTTTTTTGAATGAAAAAAACTTTCTTCTACTATATTTGCTCAGAGAACTTGTTTTAAGAGATTATCAAGTTTATTTACCAAAACAATTAACTTGTGTACAAAATAGATAAATCAAAAATAATAATTCGCTCAACGATCTATTTCAAATCTAAGCGTTTAGATCACTTGATTGATTCCAACTGTAATAATCAAGGCGTTGCTTGCTCGGAGAGGGCAATGATGTGGGTCAGAAACATCGCTAGCTGGTAATTAACTCGCCCATTTAATTAACAGAAATGTGACATCTCTGAAACCAAGGTTCACTGATTGGTCTGCACATAGCATTATATGGCTAGAGATATTTGCAGGAGCAACATTAATTTGTGACTTATTATTTCACTTAGGCCCGTTTGAGTTCACGACGGACAAACATTAAATGCGAACATGAAAAACAAAAAATATTAACGCTTGATTAGGTGAGTTTGAATTATTTTAAATCTTAAGAAAATATATTTATTTGATATTTTAAAACAATTTTTGGATAGAAATTTTTCGTACGAGATGTACCGTTTAACTGTTTGAAAATCACGCTAATAAAATTCGAGTAAAATATGTATTTTAATCAGAACAGAACCAGACCTTATCACTTATCTGAGCTTGATAAATTTCCGATAAATTAGAGTGTTCTAATCAGTTATAATTCGTTTCATGATTTAGGGCGGAATTATTGGCGGCAACACGACTATCAGTTGGTACGACTCATAGTACAGCGGTTTGTGGTGGGGGCTATGGCTGTGGATGGATGGAGGGGAATCTCTTTTAATTTCTCTGTGTGACACGTCGGTCGGCCCAATAATGCCAAGGGATGAAGTTGACACCTCTGGATGAACGCTTGGCCGCCACGTTTCCGTCTCCTTGGTCATCACGGATTCCAGGGCCAATTAGCTGGCTGGTTCACACGTAGTCTTCCGTCGTTCATGTTGGTCATATTTTAATTACGTTTAATTACACGCTCTGTGGAGTATACATATATGCCACGTCTCCTGTGAAACATTGATTAAATTTCACAAAACTATATATTTAAGATAATATATTACAAAACTACAGATTTAACACTGAATTTCTCATAAAATTATAGATTTAAGGTAGAATATTATAAAACTACAGATTTAGTAACAAAATTATCGTGGAACTATATGTTTAGCATCAATTTAATTACAAAACTTAGATATTTATAACTCAATCATAACATATTAGTGCTAAGAATTTAAACCCCAAAACCTATATCTTTGTGATAATTTTATTATTAAATTTGTAGTTTTGTGATACTTAATCTTAAATCTGTAGTTCTGTAATAATTTCATGGTTAAATATGTAGTTTTGTAATACATCACATTAAATCTGTAGTTTTATAATAATTTGATCAAAGTACCTGCAGTTTTGTGAAATTTACTCTGAAACATTTTTTGGTAGAAGCACACTGTATACGCAGACTCTCGTAGCACACGTATACTCACTCATATGAACGTACACACGCACATCTTACTCATATGAGCACCTCCGAAAGACTGTGCGAGCATATCTTGAGATTAACGAAGTCATGATAGGCGTCTAGCACGAAAAAAAAATTAACAATAAATACAAGCATCGGCGTAAGTCTAGGACTTCAACTTAGGTAGACTGATTCCATAAAAAAACATAACCAGTTGAGTTACACTCACTTCACACTTTATGAAACATTTTGACGTGCCTCAAGCCATCAACCAGAATTATTCTTGTAAATTGTTTAAGCATGTTCATATAATTTTTGTAATTATAGCATCTTTTAAAATCTACAGCTCCATAAACCGTAGTTATCAAACCTAGAAAATAAAAATAAACTAGAAACTGGGAAACTAATACTTCTTGATTCTCACCAATTACGTCTTAGAATCTCAGGCTCTTCAAACAACACGTACGAGCTCATCTCTATAAACGTGCACATGCATACAACGTACACTATAATTGTCGATGAGTGATACTCGTAAACCGGATGAGTTGGGTATTGATGTACATTGTAACGAGGATCTATGTAATACGACATCAAGCAAACAGAAGATAAGGATTATACTGGTTCAGGCCCCTTATCAGGTAATAGCCCTAGTCCAGATTATATGGGACTCATGATGGAAAAACACAGAATACAATGGAAGTAGACGAATTCGATGATACCGACGAGATCGTAGTCGATGTATTCGACAAGATCTCCCGATGACTTGGCTCCGCGTACTCCGGCTTTGTAAACCGTGGTGGGTGTGTTGGCGATGATATTCGATGCCTTGTATCCCTCTCTGGGGGTCCCTTTTATACCATATATCATCTTGATCTCCAAGTAAGACTCAGAGACATCAAATCCCGTACGAGACAATAGAAACTCTATCCCCTCCTAGTAGGACTTTGGAAATCACTTAACTCGTAGGGATATTTTCTATAATTTGTAGCGGATTCCTACAACACATACGGAAATAACCCGTGTACATGAAGGTATACCATATCCATATATTCCATAAGTCGTAGAATAGGAGGTATGCCTTATTCGTAATCATGACAATAATAACCATCTCTGAAAACTGAACCAGAATATCTCTAGATTGATGAAGTCACCATAACGCCTTGTTATCCATGTGTACATTACCTTAAGAAAATAGTCGTAAATATGAACACTCGTCAAATATAGAACTTGAATATTTTACCATAAGAAATCACACCAATTAAGCGTGCACCTCCAAACAAAGACTCTAGTTAGTATATTATGCAAGAGGAGTGACACACGTCACACGCGTACAGTTTATTAACTCGACCGGATGGAAGACAAAAATGGTTGGAACGTACAGTACTAGCATATACTCGTGTAACGGCATTGAATATCGATTGATCTGTCACATATCATTGTTAGTAACTTTTTTGACAAGTCGATAAGCACGATCACAACATCTAAACGTCTTGTGGTGATATAGAGTCGCCAACCACCTCAATCTAGCCGAACGGCCAAATCAAGATGGGTTTTAAGGGAAAACAACTAAACCGGCTAGCGAAACTGAATTAGAGATCAAAATCAGCCTCTAGGCCGATTTAGATCGATACGAGGATAACTACCCGTCTCGTGGGCAAAACGGAAGGTTTTCAGGACAAACCTATAAAGAGGTGTCGCACTCTCGCAGCGGCAGCGGACGGTTTATGGCGCAAACCGACAAAGATGGACTAAACTAGGGTAAAATATAAAACATAGTAAAAGAACGATTCAAATAGATTGTATTCGGGGGTTTTACAATGAACCGGCCTTGTCCCTTAAATAGGGATTGGTCTTGCCCTCTACAGGCCCTTCTCTATGCCCAACTCAGGATAGAAACCAAAGGAAACACGAAACATGCCTTCCCGAGCAAGGAAACCCGAGACCCGACAAAAACAGACTTGGACTCGGACCCTGCCGGTCTGACCGCCTACATACCTGCGGTCAGACCGGCCCTACTAGCCGGTCAGACCGCCCACATGCCTGCGGTCTGACCGGCCCTGTGAAGGAAACCCGATACTTTCCAAACTTTGGCAATTTTCCCCTATTTCGTCCATAGGTGCCAAATTTGGGTGTAAACACATGCCCCCCCTACCTTTTTGGTGAACATACGTGAACCTAAAAGTATAGAACATGTTATCTCAGGGCGATAATCCAATTACCAGCCATAGGACTTCCTAAGTATCTTGCCAAATGCTCGGGAAGTATTTCTTCAAGTATTTCCCATTAATCGCTCTCTGAAAACACCGTCTTGAAGTATCTTCATCTCCTTTAAAGTCTTCAAACGCTTGTCGATGACGTCTTCAAAATTGCTTCCCATCAAGGTCTTGTAATCTTCAACTGAC